GGAGCAGCAGTGACTTCCAGTGGGTGCATGGTGCGCATCCTGGACTGGGCTGGCATGGACACGGCATGTGGTACATGTCCCAGGACTGTCCTGCACAGACACCTGCGCTGGATCCAGCATGCAGAGGTGGATGAGCTGGGCATCCCACAGTGAGGACATTCAGAGCTAGTTTGGGTATTTCTGGACATCACTTTTCCACTGCATAGATATTCCCTCAAATGACGCAGTGGGCAGGTCTATTCGAGACACTTACTGTGCATTAGCTTAATATAAGTTCTTAGTAGTGTGTTATGGCATAAACCATGCTAATAGCCTACTGCGCAGTGTTCATTCTCAGTACTCTTCTACCATAATCTTTAAGACGGGGAGCAGCCAATGCTTTGTACAAGATTTCAGAGGTGGCTGCAACCTTAACTTATATGAAGGCATGTAATCCTGCATGTGTTACTCACTGTCCTGTTCTTTATGTTTTTATTTGGACTCCAGCTGCACATTGATAAGAGGCTTCATTCAACTGTCTGCAAGGATATCCATGTACTCTGTGTTATATATGATGGCTTGTATGGGGTGAGCAAATGAGCAAGATCAAACACAAACACTATTTTAGTGAACATCTGCCTTGCAGCAATAACAGAACATCGCTGAATCAAGGACAGGACTGAGAAATACCTTCATACCCAGGCACCAGAGCCTGCAGGGTCCTTGAATTTAGTTGGCATCTGAGCTGTTTTTGTCTAGGAGCTTTGGAGAGATGAGGAGCTGACTCTAGGTTGTCCCCTTCCAGTTAGGGAAACTCTAGGTGGGATCTAGAAGAGATTGACTTTTATTAGTAAATGTTTAGGATTGTAAATCCCCCCAAAAACCTGACAAAGCCGATAGGGAAATACATAGCGTCCGAGCGAGGGACTAACAATAGAAGGATGGGGGTGAGGTGGGGAACGCAACTAGGTTACAGGCGATACAATGTTAGCCATTTAAGCCCGGGGGTAGGGAGGGGGAGAGGGGTAAGGGAAGGGAGGGGGTTCACGATGCAGAGAGAAAAAGATGATAGATACACACAAACCCCTTACAATGGTCCGCAATGGTGGAAGAAGTGGTCCGAAGAAAAAGTGTCTCAGTCCATATAAAGTCTCATCGATGGGGTCCTCTTCGGGTGGAGCACGGTTGTATGTTGTTGGAGAGTCCTCTTGAAGTCAAGGTCCGTCTGGTGCGGGGAGGGGGTTCAGGCGATCCCCTCTGGGTCCGGTCTGGCGGCTGTTCTTCTGGTGGGGTCGGCGTACTGGCGGTGGCCCGTGATGTGTTCGACGTTGATGTCACGGGACCAACGGATGGTGTCGGACACCATGAGGCAGCGCATGAGCTTGGTGTAGCGGTGGGACCATGCGCGCAGGACGCTCTCGTTACTGGGGTCCCAGGCTCCGAGCGTTCCCGCGATGAGCGCGTCGACCGTCACGTCGTAGCCGCGGCCCCTCGGGGTGTCGGCCAGCGGGGCATACTTCTCCCGCTTGTGAGCCCGGGCATAGGTGAAGGCTTGGCACCGGTTCTCGAAGGGGATGGTAACAAGGAGGATGGTACAAGGAGGACTCCAACCTTAGGAGGACTTTGTGGGCAGGGATGTGCAGGGAGAGGATCATGGCTCTGCCCCAGGGCCAGTCCCACCATTTCCCTGCCCTGTGATTCTAGGTCCAACCTGCACCCCTCCACCCACTCCCTTCTATCCCACTCCTGGATGCTGCTCCTCGCCTGCCTGCAGCCCAGTGCCATCCGCCCGGCTGAGCACCCTTTGTCCGCAGAGGTCCCAGCTGGTCTCTAGGGAGACCCCGTCTGCCCACTCCATCCAGCGTCCCCAGCAGCAGGGACAAAGCTGGTGGGACAGCAGGCCCGGGCAACAGGGCTGGGGCTGACAGCACCGGAGACACCAGGCACTAGTAGTGGCAGCTGGAAGAAGCTGCCACCCGGGCTGCTGGAAAGCAGAGTCCGACCACGCACCACCCCCACCCCGCTGAGCGCCTGGGGGCAGCAGGGCAGGCCGCCTGCCCCATGGCCCAGGCTGCCCCCCACATCTGGGTTTTCACAGTCCAACAGCACAGAATAGCCTGTCTGCCTCTGCTTTATAACCACCATTCAGGTTATTGAAGACTGTTATCAAATCCCACCTCACTCTTCTTTTCTCCAGGCTAAATAATCCTAGTCATTTCAGAGTTTCCTCATAAATCATGCTTACCGAGACTCTGATACGTTTTGTTGCGCTCCACGAGAATCCTTCTCGTCTATCCAGGTCTTTCTTGACCTGCAGGGCCCAACACTGATCACAGTGCTCCAGGTGAGGCTGCACCAGGGCTGAATAGAGTGTAAGGGTCAGTTCCCTCGATTAAAAACCATCACTCCTGTTAACACAACCCACAATGCTGCTGGCTTTTTTCCCAAGAACACAATATTGGTTCATATTCAGCCAATCCCCAGGTCCTTCTCTGAAGTACTACAGCCTAGACAATCATTCCCCAGTCTGGATTTGTGCATGAAATGATTCTGTCCCAAGTGCAGATCTTTGCATTTTGTCCGTCTTGAATTTAATTTGATTGATTTCAGGCTATTTCTCCTTTTTATCCGGATCATTCCGAATTGCAGCTATATTCCCCAGTCTCCACTACTGCACTTAACTTAGTATCATCTGCAAATCTGCTAAATGCATGCTCAATCCCATCATTGAAATCATTACTGAAGGTACTAAACAATAGCATGCCTCTCAGTGACATCAATCAATACCTCCTGCCAACTAGACATTGAGCCATTGATGGCTCCTCGCTGAGCAGTGTTCCAGCCAGTTATGGATCTACATTACAATACTTTCATTTACCCTGTACATACTTAGCTCATTCCACCACAAACTTTTCTTCGTGAATCCATGTTCATAGGATGATAGAAATGAAGGTTGGAAGGGACCACAGGAGGTCACAAATGGTCCAATCCCCTGCTCAAAATTGAACTATCCCCAATGAGATCGTCCCAGCCAAGGCTTTGTCCAGCTAGGTTTTAAAGACCTCCGAGGATGGAGAGTCTACCATCTCCCTTGCTGCTACTTGAGACCATCGCTCCTTGTCCTGTCATCTGTCACCACTGAGAAAAGCTCCATGCTCTTTGCAGCCACCTGCTCTGGGCAGTTAACGGCTGTTAATAAATCCCCTCTCAGTCTCCTCTTCTGCACCCTACAGAAACCCAGTCCCCTCGCCCTCTCTTCATAAGTCATGTGCCCCAGCCCAAAAAACATTTATTTGTTCTCCCCTGGACTCTCTCCAACTTGCCACATCCTTTTTGTAGTGGGGCCCAAATCTGGACACAGTACTCCAGATGTGGCCTCACCAGTTCAAGACACAGCAGAATAATCCCTTCCCTCTATCTGCTGGCAATGCTCCTGCTACTGCAGCCCAGTATGCTGTTAGCCTTTTGGCAACAAGGGCACACTGTCGACTCATATCCATCTTATAACCCCCGGTGGTCCTTTTCTGAAGTTCCCTGGATCTTCTTCCCTTTCTTAAAGATGGGCACTATATTTTCCCTTTTCCAATCATCCGGGATCTTCCAGGATCACCACAAGTTTTCAAAATGATGGCCAGGAGCTGTACAATCACATCAGACAACTCCCTCAGCACCCTCAGATGTATTGCATCCGGCCCCACTTCATCCCTGCATGCCCAACCAATGCTCTTATATTTCTTCCTAGTTGTTGATTCAAGTTCCCATTTCTTATAAGCTTCCTTTTCATGATTCAGTCTACTGAAGAGTTTCCTGCTAAGCCAAGCTGGTCTTCTGCTGCACTTGCTAGTCTTCCTGCACATCGGGATGGTTTGTTCCTGCACTCTCAGTAAGGTTTCTCTACCGTACAGTCAGCTCCCCTGGACTCGTCTCCCTCTCAGTCTGGCTTCCCAGGGGATCCCACCCATGAGCTCCCTAAGCAAGTCACAGTTTGCTTTTCTAAAGTCCATGGTCCTTACCCTGCTGCTGTCCATCCTTCCTTTCCTCAGGATCCTGAACTCAATCATCTCATGGCCACTGCATCCCAAGTTGCCATCCACTTCTACATCCCCCACCAATTCTGCACTGTTTTGCGCAGCAGGCCAAGAATTGGTGTCTCCAACACTTGCAACAGGAAGTTGTCTCAAATGCTCTCCAAAAACTGCTGTATTGCCCTCCCCGCAGACGTCAGAGGAATTCAAGTCGCCCATGAAAACCAGGACTTGTGGTCAGGAATCTTCCAATAGTTGTCTGAAGAAAATCCATCTTTAAATTGCTTCTTAGCCTAGCTTATGCTAGCTTAGCCTAACTAACTCTTATACTTCATCCTCATTACTCCCAAAAGTTTGCAGCTGCTGAGTGAGCAGTCTATGGGACTGGCCTGCTACAGGAAAGAAATGCCTAAGAGACATCATCTCTGAATCTAGAGTTGTGCATGTCACTTGGTCTCAGACCAGCACAGCTATCAAATACATCCCTAAGATCCCGAGAGAAGCAGGAGTTCAGAAACACCCCTAGGCTCAGCGATTCCTACTAGCTGGCTCTACGTATCTTTCTCCTAAATATGTGGGGTTTTGAAAATCATCCTGTGGGGTTGTCTTGCTCTCCGCATTGACTATATCCTGGGACTAAGCATGTAACCCCATTTCTTTCAATCACCTCACTGTGACCAGTTGCCAGAGGTACCTCTCTGAAGTTCAAGATTCACCTCTGCCCTGCAAAGAGCTTCTAAAGGGCAAGAACAAAAGGTGATCTGGACAGGATTTGGCATCACTCTGGGAGGAACCAAAGCCATCCTCAAAAACGACCTCACCACAGCTCTGTTCACAGACATTAGAATGGAAATGCAAATATCCATGAGCAATACTGATACTAAGTAAACTAATGCTCCACACATTTACATTCCTACGTAAAAACCTACTTCACGAGAAGAAACGCACGTCTGATGCTTTTATTTGCTGGACTGCATAAAGCCAGGGTTTCTATACATGCAATACAGACCAAAGGGTAGTGCTTCCACTAACCCCATTCCTGCAGAGCAGCGTTACGCGCCGACTTGTTTTTCCAGAAGAGATTTTGTGACATCTTCAGACATGGAAGGCAACAGAGGCAACATTTCAAAAGGCAATATCTTGGAGTCAGATATGTCTGTCCTCATAACTGTACTCTTTGAGACTTTTCTCGGGATCTCACTAAATGCTTTCATTATAGCTGTGAACTGCATTGATTGGGTCAGCAGGATTTGCTTATTGTTTGCAGAACATGTAGAGCTTGTTACTTCAACATTTAATCCTTCGTTTTATAACAGCAAGTCCAGATACTTCATGTTTGCAGGTCTGGCTTGGTTCCTGAGCACATCCAACCTGTTCTTCGCTGCCTGCTTGTCTGTTTATTACTGTGTGAAGATTGCAAACTTCAGCTGCCGTCTCTTCATCACGCTGAAACAAAAAATCTCCCAGCTCATGCCATGGTTGCTGCTGGTCTCAGTGATGATTTCCTTACTCAGCAGCCTCCCTACCTTCGTGGCCATTTATAATGTCTCAGATAATAGCTGCAACTCCAGCTGCTCACAAAACCACACAGGAGACAATGTCACACAACACAGAATTCTTTTGCACATGATTATTGTCTTTTCCTTTGGCTTTTCTATAGGTTTCACCATATTATGCATCTCAGCTGTTCTCTTACTCTTTTCACTCTGGAGACACATCCGACACATGCAAGGGAGCTCAGCTGGTGTCGGGAAGCCTAGCATGGAGGCACATGTGAAAGCAGTGAAAATGGTACTGTGGTTCTTATTCATCAATCTTATTCACTTCCTATCTTGGTTAAGCTGCATTACACTTATATTTACAACAAATATTTTTGTGCAACATTTTCTTATTCAGGTTACAATTTTTTGTCCATCGATCCATGCTCTTATACTGATTCTCAGCATTCCCAAATTGAAACAGGCACTGGCCAGGATCCTGCGCTATGTAAAATGCAAGGGCTGTGCAAAAGAGGGAATACCTTAAAACTTTCTCTGTTCCTCTGATGGAGACCATGACAACCACAGGCTTTATAATAAAAAGAATCATTTAACGTAGAAGACCTGCTAATGCAAAATGGCGCAGTGCTCTTGGACTTTCATCTACTCTTAAGAGAAGATTCAGAGAAATAAATTGAGCTACGCTGGTAGATATATAAATGACACCTTAATTTACATCCTCCTTCTTGCATGTCTGTGAACTGGTGCCTTAGTTTGCTGTTTTGAAATCCTGTAACTCAATGAAGAAATCCAGAAAATAGAGTTAAACTCTTAGGATGCAATTTTCGGTCTGTCATAACATAATCTGAAAGCATTTTGTATTGCCAAAGGGACATGGAGACGTTTGTGAGTGCTTCACAGACACAGTTTTTGACATTTCATCATCTCTGCAAGGCTGCACGTCACAAGTGAAATATCAGGCAAAGCGTCTTATGGCACAATCAGATGAACATCCCAGAGAAGAGATGGCAGTCTCACTTCCCCGAGGCAATTCAACATTCACTGGACTCTCCCCTAGAAAATCATAGCAAACACCTGATCACTGAGACGCGATAGATCACAGCATGATACGCAAAGGAAATTAGTCAAGGCACTGCCGAGCATTTGTAAGTGCATTGGACACTTACATAAATCAGACAATATTGGAAAATGAGGGCTGGAAGGGACATCAGGAGGTCTCATCTAATCTAACCCCCTGCTCAAAACAGGACCAGCCCGAACTAGACCAATCCAGCCACGGCTTTATAGAGCCTGTCCTTAACATCCTCCCGGGATGGAGATTCAACCGCCTTCTTAGGTAACCCGTTCCAATGCTTCAGCACCCTCCTAGCGAAAAAATACTTCCTAATATCCAACCTAAACTTCCTTGGCCACACTTGAGCCCATTGTTCCTTGTTCTGTCATCTGCCACCACTGAGAAGAGTCCAGCTCCATCATAGGAGAAGGGAAAAAATATTATTTGGGGGTCTGAGTACACAGACACACACTTACACCCCCACACAGCAAATAAGTCTGTGGAGGGGGAGGGGCAGGTGGAGAGGGAAGGGACAGGGGGCAGATCAAGGTCCCCACAGTGAGGGAGGATGTGGGTCAGGAGCTGGGGTGATTGGCGCCCCGAGGTGGGTTGTGGGACATTTAGAGCCTGGGCAGTTCATCCAGGGATGCAGGTGGGTTCCCGATGCTGTTTGCACTCCAGAGAAGGCACCGGGGTTATGTGCCCCTGGATTTTTGCACAGGGAGGAGGCGAGCCGCCCGCTGCTGTGGGCTGGGGCTCTGCGCCTCACTGCCGCTGACTCAGGACATGCA